GCGCTGGTTTTGTTGGGACGGCGGTTTTCGGCGGCGAGGAGGAGCACCGCCTCGAGTACAAAAGGGAGGAAGCCTCGAGCGGGAGCGTTGTTGTTGCTGGGGGCGGCACCGATGAGCGGGAGCGTTGTTGTTGCTGGGGGCGGCACCGATGAGCGAAAGAGTAGCGCGCCAAGCCGAGGTGAAACGGGAGGAAGTCCCGAGCGGTAGCACTGGTCTTGTTGGGACGGAAGCTTTTGGCGACGAGCAAGAGCACTAGCTCTGAATAAAGAATGAGGAAAGCTCGAGCGGGAGCGTTGTTGTTTTTGTTGCGGGGCCGGCTCTGGCGCCCCCCCAAGCCGCCCGAGCGTGAACCGACGAGCAAAAGCACCAGCTCTGAATAAAGAATGCGGAAGTCTCGAGCGGGAGCGCTGTTGTTGTTGTTGGCGTTGTTGTTGCGGGGCCGGCTTTGGCGCCCCCCCAAACCGCTCGAGCGTGAGCCTCGTGTTCAATGAAAATGTAGCAGGCGCCGAGGCGAGAGCTTCAAGGCGCCTTGGGGGGGTCCAACAACACTCATTGTTCAGTAATTAACATTCAACAACAAGATCAACAACAACAACAACAACAACAACAACCTTAACAACAACAGCAACATCGACAACAACAACAACAACAACAACAACAACAACAACAACAACAACAACAACAACAACAACAACAACAACAACAACAACAACAACAACCAACAACAACAACAACAACAACCACAACCACAACCACAACCACAACCACAACCACAACCACAACCACAACCACAACCACAATAACAACCGCCACAACAACAACTGCAACAGCTATCACTTTCAAACTGTTCGCCCTTATCTGCTCGAGTGTCATTCAACACGTATATCCCAAACCAGCGATAACCAACATCTTCGTCTTTGATCGTACCCCCTTCGAGGTCTACATCTTTCGTACCTGCAACGTGTATTCCGTGCAGCCCCTGAGACAGAGGAAGAGAGGGCGGATGGAAGGAGGGGACGACGGGGGAAGGAGGATGGAGCACGAGAGAGTGTAGCAGAGGGGGGGTAGGAACAGAAAACACGTGTCAGAACCACACGGGCAGATCGGGCGGATAGACCCGAACGGGCGGGTCGGGAAGGCGGGCCCAGGCGGCCAGGTCGAGCAGGCGGGTTGCTGAAGAGTGCGTCCTGCATGAATCGCGAGGAGGTCGTGAACGATAGCGCGAATAGATCGTGCGGAAATCCACAGCGAGAGCGTGATTCCTGAGTGTTGAGGGCGCGGCCTCTGAACAAATGGCGAGGAAACCCCACGCGAGAGCGCGATTTCTGCATACATTGTGAAGAAATCCCGCGCGAGAGCGCGATTTCGGAATAGAGTGTGAGGAAGTATCCGGCGGGAGCCGCTTTTGCTGTAAACCAGGGGCCGAAGACACAATTCTGAGGCTCAAGACTTTCCCTGATATAAACGTGCACGCCCCGGGAAGGGCACTTCAATTGAAAACATGATCGACCCACGAACCCGGAAAGGAATATAGAAATGTAAAGCATGGCAACGTTTTCAAAGACACCTGATTGGGTGACGGGCAAGTGCAATGCTGATTGTATCGATCTTGATGTACCGTGCCGAGGCCTGTGCTGTGCTGCACCGTGCTGAATTGTGCCATGCCGCGGTTGTGCTCTATAGCGTCATGGATCGAGTCCTCCTTTGCATCCGAGCCCTGACCGAACTGATCTGGATCTTAAGCTTGAGCTGCCTGAACACATAGTAGCTGCCCCAGAGCTGATGGACAGGGGGACATGCCAGGAGGACGCGCCGCGAAACGTCCCAAGGGACGCGCCAGGCGACGTGCCAAGGGACGTGCCATCGGGTCGCACCGTAGGACGTGCCAAGGGGACGCGCTACGGGACATCCTCAAAATTCCTGCGCGCGGGACGTGGCACGCGCGAGACATCCCCGGAATTCCTGCGAGCGGGACGTGAAAACAAACATTTCGCCTGAGACATCCTCTGAATTCTGGCCCCCCACGAGGCCCCCGCTCGAGACATCCCCCAAGTTTGCAAAACCAGCGTTTCGCTGGAGACATCCTCAACAAATTATGAAAAACAAGCGTTTCGCTCGAGACATCCGATCAAAATCCAAGGACATCCTGGCAAAACAAACGAATTAGTCAAGACTTCCTCAAAATTCTTGCGCGCGGGACGCGGCACGCGCGAGACATCCTTGGAATTCCTGCGAGCGGGACACGAGCCACGGGATGTGCCAGGGGACGCGCCACGCGACGTGCCAGGGGGACTCGCCAAGGGACGCCCCACGGAACGTGCCAAGGAACGTGCCAAATTGCAATGCTGAGTGTATCGATCTTGACGTACCGTGCCGAAATCTGTGCTGTGCTGTGCCGTGCTGAACTGCGATGTGCCATGGCGCGATTGTGCTCTATAGCCTCGTGGATCGAGTCCTCCTTTGCATCCGAGTCCTGACCGAACTGATCTGGATCTTAAGCTCGAGCTGCCTGAACACATAGTAGCTGCCCCAGAGCTAATGGACAGGGGAACATGCCAGGAGGACGCGACGCGGAACGTCTCAAGGGACGCGCCAAGCGACGTGCCAAGGGACGTGCCATGGGGTCGCACCGCGGGACGTGCCAAGGGGACGCGCTACGGAACGTGCCAATGGATGTGCCACGGGATGTGCCAGGGGACGCGCCACGCGACGTGCCAAGGGGACTCGCCAAGGGACGCCCCACGGAACGTGCCAAGCGAGCGTGACGTGAATCCTCTGAATTCCTGCGAGCGGGACGTGAAAACAAGCATTTCGCCTGAGATATCCTCTGAATTCTGGCACCCCACGAGACCCCCGCTCGAGACATCCCCCCAATTTTGCAAAGCCAGCGCTTCGCTCGAGACATCCTCAACACATTATGAAAAACAAGCGTTTCGCTCGAGAAATCCTGTCAAAATCCAAAGAAATCCTCGCCAAACAAACAAATTTGTCGAGACATCCTCAACATTCCTGCGCGCGGGACGCGGCACGCGCGAGACATCCTCGGAATTCCTGCGAGCGGGACGTGAAAACAAGCATTTCGCTGAGACATCCTCTGAATTCTGGCACCCCACGAGACCCCCGCTCGAGACATCCCCCCAATTTTGCAAAGCCAGCGTTTCGCTCGAGACATCCTCAACAAATTCTGAAAAACAAGCGTTTCGCTCGAGACATCCTGTCAAAATCCAAAGAAATCCTCGCTAAACAAACAAATTAGTCGAGACATCCTCAACATTCCTGCGCGCGGGACGCGGCACGCGCGAGACATCCTCGGAATTCCTGCGAGCGGGACGTGAAAACAAGCATTTCGCTTGAGACATCCTCTCAATTCTGGCCACCCACGAGGCTCCCGCTCGAGACATCCCCCCAATTTTGCAAAACCAGCGTTTCGCTCGAGACATCCTCAACACATTCTGGAAAACAAGCGTTTCGCTCGAGACATCCTGTCAAAATCCAAAGAAATGATAGCAAAACAAGCGAATTAGTCGAGACATCCTCGAAATTCCTGCGCGCGGGACGCGGCCCGCGCGATACATCCTCGGAATTCCTACGCGCGGGGCGCTTTTCTGCGTCGCGGTCGGGGCTCCAGACCCCGTTATTTGTCGAGGATTCTGCGAAAAACGCTCCGCACCCTTTTTTACAAAGGAAAACGAGGGTCTGCGAACCCCGTTTTTTATCGAGGATCCGAGATGGGGGGCGCACTTTCCTCGAGCGGGCACGCACGAAACGCACTTGTTCAAAAAAAAAAAAAAAAAAAAAAAAAAAAAAAAAAAAAAAAAAACTTTACCTCGTTATTTATCGCACAGAAATTCGCCGGCAAAAACCGGGGGGGTCCTTTAAACCTACTAAGAGAGAACCCTGGGCTCAGGCCCTTTCCGGGAAAAACACCATGTACCCTGGACGGGGGAATCAACAATCAATATTTTTTGGAATGAGATCCCACAACAACGACAACAAACATTTTAAGACTGCTCGCTCTTATCTGCTCGCGTGCCACTCAGCACGTATATCCCAAACCCTGGATACCCGCCCTCTTCGTCTTCAATCGTGCCCCCTTGGGGGGATATCTTTCTTACCTGCAACGCGTGTTTCGTGTAGCCCCTGAGGCAGGGGAAGAGAGAACGGATGGAAGGAAGGGACAACGGGGAAGGAGGAGGATGGAGCACGAGAGAGAGTAGCAGGATGGGGGCTAGAAGCAGAAAACACGCGTGGCTGAACCAGACGGGCAGATCGGGCGGATAGACCCTAACAGGCGGGTCGGGAAGGCGGGCCCAGGCGGCCCGGTCCAGCAGGCGGGTTGCTGAGGGGTGCGTCCTGCATGAATCGCGAGAAGGTCTCGAGCGATAGCGCGATTCCCAAATAAATCGTGCGGAAATCCTCTGCGAGAGCGTGATTCCTGAGTGTCGAGGGCGCGGCGTCTGAATAAATCGAGAGTGCGATCCCTTCAAAATTGTGAGAAGATCCCGCGCGAGAACGCGATTTCGCAACAAACTGTGAGGGAAGTATCAGGCGGGAGCCGCTGTCGTTGTAAACTGGGGTCAGACAACACAATTTAGCAACATGTCCTTGTAAAAAATAGGGGCCGAGCCCCAGGAGAAACACATTAATTGAAAAATATAATGGTTACTGGAGGTGGGGGGCTCAAAAATCATTATTCCTCAGAAATGGAATTCAACAGCAACAGCAACAACAATCCGCACCGCGGAACCCACCTTAAGTCGCATACCCATGAACAGTGAATGACCGTTCCGTCCCCTCACACTGACAACGCTGGGAGTAGTTCATGGAAGAAGGCAAGACAACGCTGGGAATAGTTCATTCGAGAAAGCGGCCAGCGAGCGGCTCCTCCTCCTCCTCCTCCTCCTCCTCCTCCTCCTCCTCCTGCTCCGCCTCCTCCTCCTCCTCCTCCTCGCCCACCCCTCCTCCACTCTCCTCCTCTTGTTTCTCGGGGGCTCGGGGGCCTCTTCTCGCCGTCGGGGCCGTCCCGGCTGATGACCAGCTCCACCTAGGGAGCGAGGGAGACAAGGAGTAGGAGGAGGAGGAGGCGGAGGAGGAGGAGCAGGAGGAGGAGGAAGGGCTCTGAGATCCGTGCGTCTCCATTTGTTTCCACCTGTTCTCGACAATTTTCGGGCGTTCTCATAGGTTCTCGGGGCTCTCCAACAACTGCGCCTCACCAAAGAGAGTTCTGCGAGTGCCCGGATCGTCCCGAAAGGCCGCTGGAGAGCTGGGCTATGGTCCGAAAGCTTAGGGCCAGGGAGGAGGGGATGGGAAGGAGGCGGAGGAGGAAGAGAGGAAGGAGGAAGAGGAGGAGGAAAGAGGAAGAGGGGCAGGAGGAGGAAGAGTAGAAGGACAGAGGGGGAGGAGGAGGAGGGCCAGACTAAACCCAAGATACGTCAGCGATGCTGCAGCACACCCTTCCGTCCCAAGCCCCCTCCTCATACGTCCCTACGATCGTTCCTTTACGCTACAAGCAGCGCCACCCATGAAAGACCAGCACCATGTGGGCATGCCCTTTCCAAGATGGTCCCACTTTGAAAAAGGAACTGTGCATCATTCGAACGCAAAACCAAGGAAGCAACAAAACCATGACCATACGGTTCAACGAGGTGTCCAAGGAGATCCACTTTCAACACATCCACACAACGTTTGCACATAGTTGTGATTGTGGCCATGAAATCCGAAGAATAACAAGCGAGAACGCAATCTTGAACAGGAGCCGACCTTGTTCCGTTTAGTGCTGCATGTGTTGCAACGCCGGGTCTTGCAATGTAATGAAGCCTAAAGCGAACGCCGTTTTCGGGGGGGGGCATCCTGTATCCATCTGATTGCGGCACGCTTTTGTCATTTTTCTTTGTTTTCCCCCCCCCAATCAGAGCTTGCCTCTGTAGGGGTCCTAATGGATTCATATGGTTAGGTTAGGTTTGCCGCCGATTTTCGCTGCACGCCCGGGTGCCCGGGTGCCCGGGGGTGCCCGGGAGGTGCCCGGGGGTGCCCGGGTGCCCGGGTGGTGCCCCGGTGCCCGGGCGTGCCCGGGGGTGCCAGGAGTGCCCGGGGGTGCCCTATAGCCGTAAGCCATATAGCCCTATAGCCCTATAGCCCTATAGCTCAATAGCCACATACCCCAATATCCCTACAACCCTATAGCCCTATAGCTCTATAGCCCTATAGCTGAATAGCCTTATAGCCCCTTGCCCTGATTGTTTTTTGTCTCCGGCATCCTATTTTTATGTTTAAAAATTGTGCGCGCGCATATATATATAGTATTCGTATTATTTCCTCGTGGCGCTGAGGCGATAAACACATGTACATGTTGAAAGCGACCTGTGGTCTGTCCATGTAGTTGTTGCATTATTCACAAAGGGATGCACGTACGAATGTGCATGGCGATGAAACGAGATCCCAATGTTGACCACGCATCCCCCCCCCCTTCACTCCTCCCCGAACGCCCCGTTTAGAAAACGGTCCCCTCACACTCCTCGGAAAAACTGACACATCTTGACACGAATGTGCGCGCCGCTCTTGCGCGAACCCCATCCTGTAGACGAACCGCCTTCCATCGTTGAACTTGTTGCGTAGACTTGGGGCGAGAGCCCCATTGTGAATACGATCCCCCTCCAGCCATGAAGCTCCTGCACGCTCTTGAGACGGCTGTGCGCGGCGCTACGGCGAGAGCCCCAGTTCGAAAACCATGAACACTGCATCCCCGAAAATACTGCGCAAGCAGCGGCGACAGCCTCATTCCAAAAGCGATCCCCTTCCATCCGAAGTTGTTGTAAGTTCAAGCTCTAGAATCAAAAACGGCGAGGACGTCTAAGGCGAAGCGCCTGGCCCGCCGACACGTCCAGGAGTTGCGACGGGGTGAGCGGACTGCGTCACGACAGCTCCAAGGCTGCCCCAAGAGCGCTGAAAAGCGCTCCGAGAGCGCCCAACAAGCGCCCCGAGAGGTAATTAGCTTCGGCCACAACAAGGACCTCAAGGATCCCAAAGAGACCCCAAGAGGGAGCAAAGAGGGCCACCAGGGGGCCCAAGGCCTCCGAATTTGCCTCGAGAGCGATCAATTTCCACGTCGAATAATCTGAGAACGCATTCAATATTGACTTCTGGATCTGCTCAGGCTGCGCTTCAGTTTGACGGCCGCCCCCCTTTTTGTCCCACCGGTTGCTCCTGCACTTGCCTGGTCAATGGATGCACCGGCGGGGGCGCTTTTTGGGCACGCGGGCGCGCGAAACGGGTCGAACGCCAGGCGAGCAGGGCCGGCGGGGGCGCTTTTTGGCACGCGGGCGCACGAAACGGGTCGAACGCCAGGCGAGCAAAGGCAGGCCACGCCACTGGCTGCGGAAAACAAGCAACGGACAACGCCAGCCGGACGGAACTCTGGCGGCCAAAAGGGCGCGAAGGCGACGCAGAGCAGCACCAGGAACGCGAGGAAGGTGCCGAGGAAGATGCCAAAGCGAGTGTACTCGAAAGCGGCGAAGGAGAACCCGAGCGCCACACTTACCCAGGAAGGCGGTGACGAAGGTAGGAAATCCAGCTCCCCAAGAAAGCTTGTCGAACACGTGGTCGCTGCTCAAGAAGAGCACAACGATGCCGAGAGGAAAAAGACCTCCAGGCCCCGCGTGGACGAGTGACCACCTCCACGTAGAAGAGGACAAGGAAGGACACCACGACCTCCAGGCTGCGGCCTCACCAGGACCTCCCCCAAGCAGTGCGAGGGCTCCCGGTGGCAAGGGCGGCGTAGACCGTCACGGAGAATGCGACCTCCAGGTACCGCGGAAAGTGCAACCACCTTCGCGTAGATAAGGGCCGCGCGGAAGACCCGGAAAGCGGACGGGCTGCGGCCGCGCCAGCCGGTGGAGATACGCGAAACGTCCACAATGTTGCAAGCATATCGCGCCCGATGGCTGCTTTAATCTTTTGTCCTAAAAATATCCAGACTAGAACGAAACACATTGACGGGCGACCTGGGAGAAGTGAGAGGTGTCTGGCCTTCTCAGAATGCGGCTGGGCTTCTCAGAAGCGCTCTGGCCTTCTGAGAAGCCCCCTCTGCCTTCTGAGAAGCGCTCTGGCCTTCTGAGAAGCGCTCTGGCCCAGAAAGCTTCGCACAAAGCCTTCGACCGCCCCCTCTGCCTTCCCCCTGGACTCGCTGGCGACACATCGTTAGGGCTGTCCGGGCGCCTCGGCTGATCTGTCTTCAGGGGACGTCTCGACACGCGATTGCCTGATAGGACGACCGAGTGTGATGCGACGGCCAGCACGCCTTCTGTCAGTCACTGCGGGCGCGGCCCCAAAAGGGAGCCCCGCCTGGGACCGCCACGGCCCCGGGAGGCCCCCCAAGGCGGCCCCGAGGAGCCCAAGGTGGCCCGAGCAGGGCCCCCCCAAAAGAGAGGCCCGGGGGGGAGCCCCGCCGTGACGACGGGGCCCCCCCGGGAAGCCCAGCGGAGCAGACAGATCGGCAAGCCTCGGCACGCGATCCGCGATGCTCTGCTCCCTCCTCCCGCGCCTCCCGCAGCCCCTCCTCTTCCTCGCCCCTCCCTCTTGCTTTTCCTCGCCCCTCCTCGTCCTCGCCCCTCCTCTTCCTCGCCCCCTCCTCTTCCCCGCCTTCCCGCAGCGCCTCCCTTTTGCTTTTCCGCGCCCCTCCTCTTCCTCCCGCGCCTCCCGCGGCCCCAAAATCCCCCAAGCCCCCCCGAACTTTCGAAGCCAGCGGCGACGACGTTGACGGAAACGAAAACGGCGACGACGACAGCGACGGCGATGACGACGGCGGCAGCGAAAGAAATCACGGTGATGTGGAGTCCCGAAGTGATGCGCGTAGTAGAATACCCGACGCAACAGCAGGAACAAATCTTGAGGGCAGAACGAAAACAACAAACCTAGCTACAGACTCCACCAATGCACATTGTCACGCGAAGTCTGCGAAGGCAACCGAAGACCCGGAAGGACCCGCGCCGCTCGCCTCCAGAGAATCACCCAAGACAACCACATGGTCGGCACAACCCGCTAGAGGAGTCATTGCGTCTTTGTGATCGTCCTCCCCCAGCAGACCCCTGACCACAAGCCCCGCCCGCCCCAGATGCTTCGCGTACACGTTCAAGTAGTTGATGCCACTGTGCGTGTGCCCTTGAACGACTTTGAGCTCAACCTTGTCACATGCAACCCATTCTGGAGTCTCCACTGCACGTTTCGACACGACACGACGATATCCTCCATCTTGCTTTGCCTCTGCCCAAGGCCCCGTCACATTAATATCGACGACGTGCATATCCGCACATGGGCCACACACTCGGCGCGCATCGGCCTGCACGCGAAGTAATGCCGTTTCAACGCGCACTCCTTTGGGGATGTTCGTCAGAACATGATTGCCCAGCTTCGTCAGATCGAACCAATCACCGTGGACGATCTGCAGGTGGTGGTCGCCAGTGGCAGCCACACCGTCGGCTCCGCCCGCCATGGGAGCCCCAAGAAGAAAGTCGGGTGCGGCGTCGGCCAACCCGGAGGAAAAGTCGGGCTGGGCGTCGGGCTGGGCGTCGGGAAGGCCGTGGGAAAGGCTGTCGGGAAGGGCGTCGGGAAGGGCGTCGGAAAGGACGTGGGGAAGGCTGTCGGGGAAGGCTGTCGGGAAGGGCGTCGGGAAGGGCGTCGGGCAGGGCGTCGGGCTGGGCGTCGGGCTGGGCGTCGGGCTGGGCGTCGGGCTGGGCGTCGGGTTGGGCGTCGGGTTGGACGTCGGGTTGGGCGTCGGGTTGGGTGTCGACGTCGGGTAGGGCGTCGGGTAGGGCGTCGGGCTGGGAGTCGGGCTATTCGTCGTTGGACACGGCACACTTCCCGACAACGTCGCCTGGTACAGATTGGAGCAGCCTTCCATCAAGGTCCAGCTGTTGCCTGTCAGGAGAGTGAAACTGGACGACGCGCCGCAGCCCTCCACCGTGAACTCGAAGACCGCCCAGTCATTCTAACTGTTTTTTTACCTGAACAAACCGAACTCAAGCTTGTCGACAAGCCATTCGCGCACTGCGTGTCCAGGTAGGCGACGGACTGGTCCCCTATCATCCAATCTGGATTCCTGGTGGACTGGGCGCCCGTTGCGTCGTTGCTCAAGGTAGTAGTGCCTGCACCACTGGTGGTTTCCGTGCCCCCGTGCCAGTGCTGTACGAGCGTGAGCATAGTTTGGGCTGTCTGGGCGCATCGGCTGATCTGTCTACAGGGTTTGTCTAGACACGCGACTGTCTAACAGGTCGACCGACCGTGATCCGCATCATTTGTTATACAAAATCGGATGCGCAGGCCAACACGTCTTCTGAAAGTCACGGCGGCGACGGCGACGGCGGAGACGACGACGACGACGGCGACGGCGACGACGGCGGCGACGACGGCGACGGCGACGGCGACGGCGACGGCGACGGCGACGACGATGGCGGCGGCGACGGCGACGACGACGACGCCGACGACGCCGCAGACGGCGGAGGGCCCAGGCCACCCCCTGCACCATCGCCGTGCACTCCGCAGCGCGCGCCCGGCTGGGCCCGGCCCGTCTGCAGCGCGCGCCCTCCGCCCGGGAGCCGCGACCGCGCCCGAGGGGCCGGCGGCAGGCGGCCCTCGGCCGGCGCCTGCCGCGCGACGACGCCGCCGACGGCGACGACGGCAGCGACGGCGACGACGACGACGACGAGGACGACGACGGCAACGACAGCTACGACGACGACGACGACGACGACGAGGACGACGACGACGACGACGAGGACGACGACGGCAACGACAGCTACGACGACGACGACGACGACGACGACGACGACGACGACGACGACGACGACGACGACGACGACGACGGCAACGACGACGAGGACGACGAGGACGACGGCGACGGCGACGGCGACGACGGCAGCGACGACGGCAGCGACGAGGACGACGGCAACGGACGACGGCGACGACGGCGACGACGGCGACGACAACGACGGCGGCGACGGCGACGACACTGAGATCCTGGCATCGCCATTGCTGCATGGCGGCGAGTCTGCCCTGCTTTTCTAGCCCTGGGGCCCTCACTCATCGATCTGGCTCGAGCAACGCCGCAGAGAGAGGGGTCAGGGGCTCTGGTCGAGTTGTTGTTCGCGCAATCGGCGGCAACGACCCCGAGATCCGGCGTCACCAAAAAATACGAAATCGTAGAACAACTCGACCAAAGCCTGGACCCCATTTCACTCGGTTCGCGTTTCGAACCGGCTCGACCCGTGAGGGTTCCCCAGAGCCTGAAACGAGGCAAAGACGCCCAGCTCGACAAAAATGCGACGCCAGGATCTCAAGGTCGGCCCAACCCTCTGAAGCTTTCAAATCATGACTCGGCTCTCCAGAAGCCGTTCGAGACGATCTGGGCACCCCCAGAAAGCTCTCGGCGAGGCGCAGCCGACGACCATCGAAAACATCCGAAAACCTCAAAGAGCCACCAAGATCTCAAGGAACAGCGGTGGCGGCTGTTCAACGATTTCTGCCGTCTTGTGGCCCACGGGGGCCCTCCAGGGGAGGGGCCGGGCAACCACACGACGGCATTCGACCCTGATGACAGCCATTTGGACATAACCGGCAACTGTGTGACTAACAAGTTCGTGAAATCTAAACTGCAGGTGGGGCCATCAAACGCGATTATCCGGGCGTGCGTCCCGGAACTTGGGGATTCACAACAAACATGGAACCTCTCGCGTGCCAGACCTGGTCAAGATCTGCTTCCCACCTCCGATCGGCCGCCAGCGAGATGTAACCTCAAGGCTGGGGAGCAACTTCTCTTGCAGGCGGGCATACTGGGATCAATTGGGTCTGTTGCGTTCTGATCGTATACAGTGTTTCTTGATGTAATGTCTGGAATTACATGTGCTGGGTTGTCCGTTTAACTGCATACGTCAAGCTGCATTGTCAACGAAAGAGTCCAGCAACAGAGAGCTCGCCCGTGCAATACTGTCGGCAGTGCGGGGCGTCTGGCCCAGCACGGACGCACTCGGGAACGCCCGCCGACCTGCTTTGGGACAGCAACTTCGTGGCCCGCGCTGAAGCTGTGTTCGGAACTAGTGGGTTCTCAATGCCAGTGGTACATGCCCCAGCATGGCTCTGTTGACCCACCCACCTGATTGTCTTGGGATGTGTGTATGCGCGTGCGACTGCGACGTCCCATGGACATGCCCGGGCGCCCTGGGGGCCGTTACGACGAGGGGGCGCTGTTACGACAAGGGTGTGTATTGCATGTGTTGCAGACAATGCCGAAGCGTTTCTCCGTAAGCGTTATGGCTCAAACGCTGGTTTCACGTTTCATGTTCTTTCCCGATTCCTGCCCAGTGATAGCTGGAGATCTTAGCAGCGGACGCTTAAACGTTGCAAGACACGGGTCCGGCAGGCGGAGTGGAGGATGATACGTCAGGTTGCGAGTAGAAGTCCATGCTTTCAAACTTTTACGTACGATCACCATCAACAAGGAGGTGGAGGGGAAACACGTTTCTACTTAACAATGAGTCTTCTTGCTTTATTAAAACTCATGTTCAAAAGGTTGTGCTAGTGGTCAATGCTTTGAAGTTTCCTCAATGAAAGCCCAGCGATTCGAACCACAAATTCGATCGAAGTCTTCCGAACTGGGGGCATGCTCCAATCTAACTGGCTGTCTTTGGGTTCAGATTCAAATCAACGTGAAATATCATGAATCTGCAGCCTCTGTCCAATCCTATTGAATTCTTGTCGAACTCTTATACCAATCGACTGAGAATCCCTTGAATATGGAGTGTGCTCCATCCTTAGCGAACTCATATTGGATCCCACTTCAAATCAAATTGAAGTCATCTGAAGCTGGTTATTGCTTCAGTCCTATTGAATCCATATTGGGGTCCCATTCAAATCCAATTGGAATCATCTGACCCAGCGGCCTGCTCCAATCATATCAACCCAATCGAATAATTCCTTTAGATCCTGCCGATTTTTGAGCCTGGGGTCATGTTCATTGAACTTCCGATTGGATGAGTATTCGAATCCAGTTAAACTCCTCTCATTCGCGGGCCTGCCCGCAGCGGGCTGGCTTGGCCGAGTGCCTGGGGGCTCCCAGATGCATCGCCGACAGCTCGGCGACGTTGCCCCGGCTGTGAGTCCGCATGTTCCCGTGCGAGGTGGGCGCTGCGATCGGTGGGCGATTGGTCGAAAAGAGAATCGACTACAGAATTAATTTACCCCAGAAGTGTGCTTCCCCATCGAATCTTCGAAAATACATAGGATGCCCCGTAGATATACGGAGCATTCTACGAATTGCTCGTAGATCCAACGGGAAAATGACTTGCAAGACAAATCAATTATGTAGTCGATCTCCTACTCGAAGTTGGGGTCGATGGATCCCCCGCTGAGCCTACGGCAGGTTCGTATCGTGACGACCCCCGCGTCGAGTTCTGACACCGCGTGGATCGTTCAATCTCGAAAGATTCGCGGCTTGTCAATCGCCAGACCGTTCCAAATCGGCCGATTCTGGCGGCGCTCAACCTTGAACGCACGACGCCGAGTCGGCACGACACGGCCCCAACGTTACCCCTGACTTCCCTCGCAGGCCTTCTGAGAAGGCTCAGAAGTCCCCCGGCCTTCTGAGAAGAGAAAACCTCTCAGAAGGCACGAGGGCTTCTGAGAAGCCGCGCCGCCTTCTGAGAAAGCCTCCTCCTTCTCACTTCCCCCCCTTGCTCGCAGCCGAATCAAGCGCACCATTGAACACTAAACCAATCACGTCTGGAAGCAGGCAATCAAAGCACTGGCGGAAGGTCACTATCGAAGGCCAAACCTTATGTATGCTCCACATCTCCCTCCCACTCTTGCGCCTGATTGTCCATCGCCGGCCATCCTGGCTTCGCATGTCTTTCCCGACCGGTGTCGGGCCCCAAGGGACCTCATAAATCGATCCGGCTCGCAAAATGCTGCGGCAAGACGGGGTCCGGATCTCTGGTCGAGTTTTGCACACTGTTACAAATGCTTGGCGACTTCGAATATCAGGTGAGAATCGAGCTCCCGAAATGTCCGACGATGTGATGTTTCAATCCCGGCGTTTCTCCTCGAAACCGGCAACTTGGGCCCGCTATCAGGCCCGGCCCAGGACCATCAACAAAGGATCCGGATGCGGCGGTCGGGACTCCCCTGAGACCGAACGCCACAAACCAACAAAAAACATCGTAACCAATTCGACTGGGGTCCAGAACAAGAACATCGCGAGTGGAGCCCTGTACGCAGGCCCCATCTTTCTTCACCATTTTGCCAACTGGATCCATCAGTGAGAGCCCTGGGGTCCGAGACAGGGCAAACCTGCTCGGAGCGGAAAAGTTCTGACGCCGGGATCTGAGGGCTCCAGGTACCACACCTCGTCCGGGGCCCGAAAACCAAGGCAGACCTGTCCGCTGTGAAAAAAAGGCGACGCCAGGCTCTCCCGCCTGCACCCGCGCCCGGGCCCGCACCAGGGCACCTCCCGAGCCGTGTCGGCGCACCAAAAAAACAGACCCCCTCGCGTCGCGACTCGGGGCCACATGCGAACCCTACCCCTACCCCCCACGACTTCTGAGGGGGAGGGTAGGGTTCTCCTCCGACTCCGCCTCCTCCTCCTCCTCCTCCTCCTCCTCCTCCTCCTCCTCCTCCTCCTCCTCCTCCTCCTCCTCCTCCTCCGCCTCCTCCTCCTTCGCCTCCTCCTCCTCCTCCTCCTCCTCCTCCTCCTCCTCCTCCT